AGAATGTAAATCTTTAGTAACTTTATAAGAACCACCATAATGACCTACATCTTCTCCTAAAACAAATACCGAAGAATCATTTTGCATCTCTTCGTTAGTAGCCTCTCTTAAAGCATCAAACATAAAAATAGAGCTCATAAAACGACTATCCTCAACTAAAATATAAAAAACAATATACTAATATAATTAATCTACAAACAAATATTTTTTTAGATCTTTAATATTCGGTTCAGGGCTAGATATAGCGAATTCAACAGCTTGATCCACTTCTATTTTAACTTTCGAATTTATATCATTAACTTGTTGCTCTGAAAGCAAAGAATGATCTAGTATATAGTCTTTTAAACGCTTAATCGGATCACGCGCTAACCATGCTTCTTTTTCAGTTACTGATCTCAATTCATCTGGGTCAGCTAAAGAGTGTCCACGAAAACGATAAGTTAAAGCTTCTATTAAAGTAGGTCCATGACCAAATTTTGCTCTGTTAATGGCTGCTAAAGCAACTTCTCGAACAGCTAAAACATCCATACCATCCACTTCTATACCAGGCAAGCCAAAGGCTTCTGCTTTTTTATGTATTTCAGGAAATGAAGTAGATCTATGATGAGCCATACCTATTGCCCATTGATTATTTTCAACTACAAAAATAATAGGAAGTTTCCAGAGAACAGCCATATTCAAACATTCAAAAAATTGTCCATTATTACTTGTACCATCACCAAAAAAACAAGCCGTCACACGCATTGATTGTTGATCATTTAACACTTGTTTTCTATACACACTTTGAAATGCAGCACCTATAGCAACTGGAATGCCTTCGCCAATAAATGCAAAACCACCTAAAAAATTGTGAGGTGCTGAAAAAATATGCATTGAACCACCACGTCCACGGCTACAACCAGTCTCTTTACCAAACAACTCTGCCATCACTAATTTAGCTGGGACCCCTTTACTTAACGCATGAACATGATCGCGATATGTACTACAAACATAATCGTCTTCCTGCAAAGCTTTTATAACTCCCGTAGAAACCGCCTCTTGTCCATTATATAAATGGACAAAACCAAACATTTTACCCCTATAATACATTTGAGCACACATATCCTCAAAATGACGACCAAGTAGCATGTCTTGATAAAGTAATAATACAACCTGAGAATTTATTTCATACTCACTAAATACGCTTGATGGTAAAGTAATTTTATTCTTCATTTGTTTAAATATTATAATTAATTCAAATATTAAAAATCATAAGCTGAAAAATGGTACACATAAATACAAGAAATATACAAATAATAATACATTAGGAATTTTTATATATCAATTAAAAAATACATTCAAATAATTACTTATTGTTCGTAATATAGTTATAATAAGTTGTTCGAGTTTATATTTTATCAAAATTGCATAATAAAAATGGCTATGACTATAATGCCTAAAATCTTACCCAATATCCATAAAGATTTATTGATTTTAGAAACTAACTTAAAAAAAATGGTTAGTGCTAAACATCCTATATTGTACGCAGCAGCTGAACATCTTTTCAGCGCTGGAGGAAAAAGAATAAGACCAACTATTATATTACTAATAGCATTATCAACAACAAAAAAACTAAATATACTACCAGAGCACAAACGTCTAGCAGAAATAACAGAAATAATACATACAGCAAGCTTAGTACATGATGATGTAATCGACGAATGTGAAACTAGGAGAGGAGTCAATACAGTTCATAATACATTTAGTACTAAAGTAGCTGTCTTAGCAGGAGACTTTTTATTTGCTCAATCTTCTTGGTATTTAGCTAATTTAAATAATTTAGCAGTGGTTAAGACTATTTCCAAAGTAATTACTGATTTTGCAGAAGGTGAAGTAAGGCAAAGTCTAACATGTTTCGATGAAACAATATCTATGGATAACTATATAGAAAAATCTTTCTATAAAACTGCATCACTAATGGCATCAAGTTGTCAAGCAGCAGCTATATTAAGTGAAACAACTAAGAATATACAACATCAATTTTATATCTATGGAAAACACCTAGGGTTAGCTTTTCAAATTGTCGATGATATCCTAGATATAATTGGTTCTGAAGGTACTCTTGGAAAACCAGCAGGATCAGATTTAAAGAATGGTAATTTAACAGCTCCACTTATTTTTGCTTTACAAGAAAATTCAGTACTGTATCATCTAATTGAAAGAGAATTTGAACAAAGTAACGATATACCTCAAGCTATAGAAATAATTAAAAGAAGCAATGGTATTCAAAAATCATACGATTTGGCTCAAGAACATATACAAGCATCAATACAAGCTATTAACAAGATTGATAATAAACTAGCTCAAGAAAGCTTATCTTACATTAACAGTTATATTATAAAAAGATTAAATTAATAAATGAAATTATAATTAAATACTATTCTATACAACAATATATAAGTATTATTTCATTTAAACACACAATTATTATAATAATAAGTTCAACAAAATGAGAACTAACAATTATGATATTTTGTATTAAATACTTTAAAGATAAAATAAAATTAATTATTATACAGTATATGAATACGAACATCATAAGATGTTTTTTAGTAGTAATAATAAATATAACTTTAGTATATTTAGCTAAAAAATATAGCTAATTTTGCTTCTAACAATTATATTTACTCAAAAATTTCAATTCTCAATTTAATTCACAAGACTCTATAATAGTCTTAAACATAGTATTATCTAGAATAGCTAATTGCGATAACATCTTACGGTTTAATGCTATACCTCTTTTTTTTAATTTTTGTATAAATTCACTATATGTAATACCGTAAGGTCTAACAGCCGCATTAATACGAACTATCCAAAGACTTCTATAGTTACGCTTACGCTGCTTTCTACCTATGTAAGAATATTTTAAAGCTTTTAATACTTGCTGTTTAGCTGTGCGAAACAAAATTGAATGAGAACCTCGAAAACCTTTTGCTAGTTTTAAAATTTTTTTTCGTCTTTTACGGGCAACATTGCCCCTTTTAACTCTAGTCATAAATATAATATTAATGTATATAAGGTATTTTAAATTTTAGACTTGATATATCACACTGCTCCAAACGAAGAACTTTTCTTAATTTTTGTTTTCTTTTAGATGATTTCTTTTGCAACAAATGGCTATGACCAGCCATATGTCTCAGAACTTTGTTTTTAGATTTAAATTTAAATCTTTTAACAATTGATTTAGAATTTTTTAGTTTATACATAAATTATACTATTGAATTAGTTAATGCAATAACGAGAAATTAATGAATTACTTCAAGCAACAAAATTTATCCATATATATAAAGACAAATCAGATCTTAGATAATATATCCATACTACTAAGATCATAAATCAAATATTCGTATATAATACAACAAAAAATCACAAATATTGTATTTTAAATAATTTTTTTACGCAAACTCATAATTGCACTTAGTAATAACATTCCCATAATCTTAATAAAATTAGAGTTTAATTCTTGAAAAACTTTCATATTAAGATTAAAAGCTGTATTAGCTTCAGCAATAATATGTTCAATTTGCATTTGATTAATAGGCGCATCATCTAATGCTTGACGGTATATTGTTTTAAACCTTTTTTCATCCTTAATGTTATGAAAGTTATAAAAATCTGTTCCCTCATTACTTGATAAATTCATAGCCGTTTGAGCAATTCTTTTCAAAATCTGTCCTCCAGATAAATCGCCCATATATCTAGTATACGCATGAGCTATTAATAATTCTGGTTGATTGACGCTAATATTACGAATTCTATCAACATATATTTTTGTTGCTGAAGAAGGATAAACCTGCTCTTCCCAATTAGAACCATAATAATATTCAAGATCTTTTTTTAAACTAAGGGTACGATTTAGTTCTGGAAAATATATAGATTGAACGACAAAATGATTTTTATTTTTCTCAATTTCTTCTTCAAGTGCAGTATATACAAAGAATAGATTAGCTATTAATTTGCGGTAAGATTTTTTATCGACTACACCACCTAAAAATGATTTAACAAAACTAACATTTTCAGCCATACTGTGAGCTTTTGTTGTGCCCTCACGTAATTGTTGAGCTAAATTAGTAGACATAAGTATTATTCCTAATAAATCTATAACTAAAAAATACAAAAAATAATATGATCCTATCGACAATTATTTTATACTAATAACTTAATAGTATAGAATAAGGCTTTATGATATATAATTATATTAAATATTTTAAAGAGAAAGCTCGTACATGCATCTATATAGACTGAAAATAATCCTTCGATTTTTGAGGATTATTAATTATAGTAGCTTGTCCTGGCTGCCAATCTGCTGGACAGACTTCATCTGGATGAGACTGTACATACTGAACAGCTTTTAAGATTCTTAAAGTTTCACTAACACTACGACCAAAATCAAGATTATTAACCAAAGAATATTGCATAATACCTTGTTTATCAATAATAAATAAACCTCTTAGAGCCGTTCCTTCATCCGTTAAAACATTATATGAGGCGCTAATATTTTTTGTTAAATCAGAAACCAATGGATAATTTAGATTTCCTAATCCTCCAACATCTCTTTCCATTTGCAACCACGCCAAATGCGAATATTCACTATCAACAGATATACCTAATATTTCTGCGTTCAAACTTTTAATCTCTTGATATGCGTCACTGAAAGCAGTAATCTCAGTTGGACATACAAATGTAAAGTCTAAAGGATAAAATAATAATATAACATATTTACCCAAATAATCAGATAATGTTATTTTATTAAATTCTTGATCATATACAGCAATAGCAGAAAAATTTGGTGCCTGTTTACCAACTCTAACATCATTATTATTTATTACCATGTTAACATTACATTTTTTGTTATAACATTTAGTATTTTTTATATTAATTTATTTTAGAAAATAAAAGTAATAAAACAACATAATATCATAAATTAATATAAGTATTACATATAATATTAAACTATTACAATAGCGGAGAATGGATTTGAACCATTGACCTTCGGGTTATGAGCCCGACGAGCTACCAGACTGCTCTACCCCGCGATTAAAATATAATCATAATATATGTATTATATTAAAAGCAATGAATACAGTATCTTTTCTAATAATAATAGGATAATAGTAATTATTAAACCATATTTAGCTCGGAATACAAATGGCATAACTTCATAAAGTCCTACAAGACGATCTTGTATTAAAACTTCTGGACTTTTAATCCATAATTGACCATCATACCAACCAGATTCTTCATAAAATATAGTTGCACTAATTAACCTTTTTATAACATAAGACCATGCTAAATATAAACGTATAAAGATTAACAAAAAAACAAAAGTTGCTATGGATATATTTAACATCATTATTTGCAATATTGTATAGTTGGAAATTATATATACTGTTAAGAATGTAGATATTAAAAAGATAAATAGAAAAACCGTAATAACTTTAATCAAATACTTATCTAAAGGCAAAGTACACCAAGAAAAAAACCAAGAAGCTTTTAAGGCAAAGTATTCATTCAAAGGCTGTTGATCAAAAGGAACAGGACATGTTTTTTTAGAAGTAGACATAAATTTTTCTGTATATTAATAGATAATAGAAGAAAACACATATACTATAGTCCATGCTAAAAATAAAAATATATTAATAATAATAATAATTTGCAAATTTTTTTGCGTACTTCGAGTAATATTGAGACCACTTGATTTACTTGAAAAACCACCTAAACTTGTAAACTTGGGATTATTAATTAAAATTAATACCATTGTAAGAACTCCAATCAAATACCATAAACCTTTCATATAATTCCGTTTTTAAAATACAAGAGATATAAATAAGAAGAATATGATTATCATATTCTTACTATATTATTATATATATTAAGCAATTAAATAAATATAAAAATAATAACTCCATACTGAGCATGAATTATCTATTCACCTTGAACTTTAAGCAGTATAAATCCTAAAACAAGGCCAAATAATATTAGTATAAAACTAACTGTACTAGCAATTAAAATTTCTCCTCCCATTTTATCACTCCATATATATATAAATTTATTTAATAATCACGATATAAAAATTAAAAACCATTTCGTCCCCATACGACCAATGCAACTGAAAAACTAAATACAGCTAATAATGATCCCCAACCTAAACTAATTATATCCAACATTTTACTTCAACTCCTACAATATATATAATAACAATTCAAAGGTTAATCCTACAAAACTAATTGTATCAAAGACTATACGATAAAATTATTTATATTGAATAATAATATAAAATATAAAAATCACAAAATGTAAATTTTTTACAATTATCAGTAAACTATATGAAAGTTAAGGTTAGTATAAAAATAATAATATATTATATTTTACATTAAATAGTATATAAAATTAAATCAATTACTTTAATTATGGACACTACTAAAGATTCATCTAAAATGACTACAAAAGAGACTTTGCTCACTCCACGATTTTATACAACAGACTTTGATGAAATGTCTAAACTAGATATTTCACCAAATATAGATGAGTTCGAAGCTTTACTTCAAGAATTTAGGGCAGATTATAATAGGCAGCATTTCATTAGAGATGAAGAATTTGAACAATCTTGGAATAATTTAAATAGTAGTACTAAAGCATTATTTATTGAATTTTTAGAAAGATCATGTACAGCAGAATTTTCAGGTTTTTTATTATATAAAGAATTATCAAGAAGACTACAAAAGACTAATGCTGTACTTGCAGAATGTTTTTTACTTATGTCAAGAGATGAAGCTAGACATGCTGGTTTTTTAAACAAAGCGATGAACGATTTTAATTTATCATTAGATTTGGGCTTCTTAACTAAGAATAGAAAGTATACTTTTTTCTCTCCTAAATTTATTTTTTACGCTACATATTTATCAGAAAAGATTGGATATTGGAGATATATAACTATATATAGACACTTAGAGCAATATCCTGAGTATAGAATATATCCAATTTTTAAATTCTTTGAAAATTGGTGTCAAGATGAAAATCGTCATGGTGATTTTTTTGCAGCATTACTCAAATCACAACCACAATTATTAAATAATTTAGAAGCAAAATTATGGTGCCGATTTTTTTTATTAAGTGTATTCGCAACCATGTATTTAAATGACTTTCAAAGATCGGATTTTTATAAATCTATTGGATTAGATGCAAGACAATACGATATGCAAGTTATAAGAAAAACAAATGAAAGTGCATCAAGAATTTTTCCAGTTGCTTTAAATGTTGACCAACCTGAATTTTTTCAGTATTTAGACCAATGTGCTTCAGAAAACAAAAAACTAATAGAAATAAATAAGCAATGTAATAATTGGTTGATCAAAAAACTCATGAAAGTGCCTATATATATGACATTAAGCTACTATCTAATAAGATTGTATTTATTACCAACTATTGCTTCATCATATGTAATATCAACCATCAGATAATTCAAATACTTTACAAATAAAAAAAATAAAGCTTTATTGTCTATTTAACTTATAAAATAAAAAATAGCTTATAATAATAATATTTTACATATTAACTATATATCACTCAAATATTTATTATGACTAATACAATAGATTTAAAAATGCCATCACCTACTTTTGGTGGTAGCACAGGAGGATGGCTTAGATCTGCAGAAACAGAAGAAAAATATGCTATTACCTGGACTAGCAAAAAAGAACAAATTTTTGAGATGCCCACAGGTGGAGCTGCAATAATGCGTGAAGGCAATAATCTTTTATATTTAGCAAGAAAAGAACAATGTCTTGCATTAAGCACACAACTAAGAACAGAATTCAAAATTACGGATTTCAAAATTTATAGAATTTTCCCTAATAGCGAAGTTCAATATCTACATCCAAAAGATGGTGTATTTCCAGAAAAAGTTAATTCTGGTAGAATTGGTATAGGAAATATAAACCATTCAATAGGGAAAAACGATAATCCAGCCAATAAAAAATTTACAGGAAAAGCTACGTACGAATAATATGTTCATATTTTGTTTATAAAAACTATTATATAAACTACATATATTATATCAAGAATAAGTAAGATTAGGATATAAAATTGTATTTCATATCTTACTTATGCTATAATTTATGTTCAGACATTAAAAAACTGAGGAGAGGTGGTAGAGTTGGTTTATTGCGTCTGATTTGAAATTAGATGAACCGTCAGGTTCCGTGGGTTCGAATCCCACCCTCTCCTTTCCATAGACTTGAACTACTAACTTAGTCTTAATTATTATTTACTTTGTATCCTTCCATAAAGCTGCTGCTATATAAGCTATAACGTCTTTAATTCGAAACATAGATTCAGAATCTTCATCTGGTATATCTATACCAAACTCTTCTTCAAATGCCATTATCATCTCAACTATCTCTAAAGAATCTTCTATGTAGTTAGTAAAATCAGTGTATTGATCAAGTTCTTTAGGATCTATATTGGATTGTTCAGAAACAATCTTCAACACCTTGTTAGTAACAGACGTATATAAATCATTATATTTCATAATAGCTCCTTAATTAATAAATAAAATATATTTTCATTCAATTACCTGTATCTAAAATTATTAAAAATATAGTAATATATTACAATAATACAATTCTATATGATACTAATCAGGATAAATTTTCAATCTTCTATTAGGCTCTTCACCAAAACTACGGGACCTTAGATTATAAAAATTGATTAATTGATGTTGTAACTGTCGTAACTTTACATTTCTTGGAAGTAATTCAACTGACCGCTTCTTGCCATTCACAATTTTTTCTATAGCTATTCTAGTTTCTGTCAAAGTACGCAACTCTATTGCTTGCTTATTTTGACATATAATATCCCAATTATAATTAGATACCTTATTAATATTTAGAATTTTTGTTAAAGCACGTTTAATATTCGCAGAAGTACTGCTACATATTGTATATATTGTTATCTGTCTTGCTTTAGCTATTTGCTTGAGCTTTGTATTATACTTAAAATTTGATCTTAAAGCTAAAATTATATCAGCTTGTGTAATATCTCTCGTAAGAAGAATAGGTAGATACAAAGAATTTACTATCATTTGTACTTGAGCAATATTAACACAATATACATAAACGCGTATACTAAAAAGATCTTGAATAATATTTTGAGAAAAACTTGGTATAGAAGATATTTTTTGCCATTTTGTTACATTTTGTTTTTGGGAAAAATTTGTAGACACCTGTGCATTTACCAAATTTATACTTGCAGTATTAGACTTTAAATTCTTAACACTAACTTTAGGATAATAAGAACTAGTATTAGAGACAAAATTAATTGGTGTATATTGTTCACATTGAATAATAATAGAACCATTAGGTATTAATTTACGTCGCTGAACCCATAAATTTATACCCTGCAATAGTTGATCAACAGCCTGGCCAACTGATTCATGGACAATCCAACTATAGCGATCATGAATCTCTATAGCTACTTGAAATGCAGGAGATGCTTTTCTTTCTAAAATAGTTTTTTGCGAACCTCTTCGCTTAGCTTCATCATCACCAAGAGTTACATACTGTATACCTCCAATTAGATCAGATAAAATTGGGTTTTTTATTAAGCTATCCAAATAATTACCATGTGCTGTACCAACTAGTTGAACACCTCTTTCAGCTATTGTACGAGCAGCTAAAGCTTCTAACTCTGTTCCTATTTCATCAATTATAATAACTTCGGGCATATGATTTTCTATAGCCTCAATCATCACATGATGTTGTAACTCAGGTCTTGATACCTGCATTCTCCTTGCCCTACCAATAGCAGGATGCGGTATATCACCATCACCAGCTATTTCATTTGATGTATCAATTATAACAACCCTCTTTTCCATTTCATCTGCTAATACCCTAGCGATTTCTCTAATCGCTGTAGTTTTACCTACACCAGGCTTACCTAATAACAAAATAGAAGGATTTTTATCTAGCAAATCTCTAATAATACTTATAGTACCTAAAATAGCCCTACCTACTCGACATGTTAAACCAATAATACTTCCTTGCCGATTTTTAATAGAACTAATTCTATGTAATGTCCTTTCAATACCAGAACGATTATCACCACTAAAGTTTCCTATACGTTTAATAGAATAATCTAAATCTTGCCAGGTTATAATTCTACTAGATAAATATTGAGGTCCTTTAGGAAAACGTGCCTCTGGTTTCCTACCTAAATCCATGACAACTTCAATCAACAATTTTCTTTCAGAATGAATTGCTAAAGGATGCCTAATAAAATCAGGTAAAATTTCTAATAGTTGGTCTAAATCATCTGATATTAACATTATTGATTTATTATTTAATCAAAATAAAAACTTACATTTCTCAATATAATTAACTGTGTTTTTTATCTTTAAATATGTAACCTTGTAAAAAAAAGATAAAATTGATATTAAAGATATGTTTCATTATTAATTATTTACCATTATACAGATTTGTTACCAAGAAATATATTTAATAATATACAATACTAGCATCCTAATATAATACTTTTATAAAAGTAAAGTAAAGAAATATATTATAAATATATGCAAAAATATTAAAAAATCAACTACAATTATAAAAATACACCATGATATAATTGACACATTCAAATATACTACAGGAGAATATATATTAAATTATGAACTTTCAAGTAAAAGATTTAAGAAAAATATTATATTCAATTAAAACAAATAGAATTTGTCGCCTTAATATAGTAAGTCAACAGTTTGAATTACTTATTAATAAAGATAATACTATTTGTAATACAAATTCTATAATACATACCAATAAATATTCCGATGTTCCTATCGAAAATACAATAATAATTCAGAAAGATAAAAATAAACAAAACTATACTAATTCTCATAACATACAAATACATACTAATGAAGCTAAAAGCTACTCTACAATAGTTTCGCCTATGGTTGGTACTTTTTATAGATCTCCAGCACCAAACGAACCTCCATTCATAGAAAAAAATGATATAGTTAATAAAAAACAAACCGTATGCATAATCGAAGCTATGAAATTAATGAATGAAATAGAAGCTGAAGTGAATGGTAAAATCGTTGAAATATTAGTCAAAGATGGAGAAATTGTTGACTGTGGTCAAACTCTTATGAAAGTACAAACAATCTCATGATTATAAGATATAATCAATGCAATTAATAAATCTTAGATTTTAACTATTGTTAACAGATCTTAAGGAAGAGATAGGTTATATTTATAATATAAGTTAGTAATAAAAACTCAATTGTGAAAGTTGTATAATGTCATATTAATTAAAAATATATAAATATAAATATAAAGATATTAACATAATGAGTGTTTTATTAAATTGTCTCATTGTATTTTATTAGAATAAACAGGAGAATCTCAATGACAATTAGCTCACAAGAGCAAGAGACAAAAAAAGTTCAAGTTACTGTAGACAAAGATCCTGTTGCTACATCATTTGAAAAATGGGCAAAACCGGGCCATTTTTCAAGAAAGCTAGCTAAAGGTCCTAAAACAACCACTTGGATCTGGAATTTACATGCAGATGCTCACGACTTTGATAGTCATACAAGTTCTCTAGAGGAAATTTCAAGAAAAATCTTTAGTGCACACTTTGGTCAATTGGCAATTATATTTCTATGGCTTAGCGGAATGTACTTCCATGGTGCAAAGTTTTCAAATTATGTAGTATGGCTTAGTAATCCTACTGCAATTAAACCTAGTGCTCAAATTGTATGGCCTATCGTTGGTCAAGAAATTTTAAATGGAGATGTTGGAGGAGGATTTCAAGGAGTTCAAATTACATCTGGTTTTTTCCAACTCTGGCGTGCATCTGGAATAACAACAGAATTAGAACTTTATGCAACAGCAATAGCTGGACTATGTATGGCTGGTTTGATGGTTTTTGCTGGTTGGTTTCACTATCATAAAGCTGCACCAAAATTAGAATGGTTTCAAAATGTTGAATCTATGATGAACCACCACTTAGCTGGCTTACTGGGATTAGGTTGCTTAGCATGGTCAGGGCATCAAATTCATATTTCTATACCCATAAACAAGTTACTAGACTCTGGTGTATCTCCACAAGAATTACCTCTACCACATGAATTCTTAGTAAATAGAGAGCTGATAAGTCAACTATATCCTAGCTTCAGTAAAGGAATTATTCCTTTCTTTACCTTGAATTGGAATGAATACTCAGATTTTTTAACCTTCAAGGGAGGTCTGAATCCTGTTACTGGTGGTTTATGGCTAACCGATACAGCTCATCATCATTTAGCTTTATCTGTATTATTTTTAGTAGCAGGTCATATGTACAGAACTAATTGGGGTATTGGTCATAGCATGAAAGAAATATTAGAAGCCCATAAAGGTCCATTTACTGGAGAAGGACACAAAGGTCTTTATGAAATTCTAACAACCTCTTGGCATGCACAATTGGCCATTAATTTAGCTATGATGGGCTCATTAAGTATTATTGTGGCTCATCATATGTATGCAATGCCTCCGTATCCTTATATTGCTACTGATTATCCAACACAATTATCTCTGTTTACACATCATATGTGGATAGGAGGTTTTTGTATTGTAGGAGCAGGAGCACACGCTTCAATATTCATGGTAAGAGATTATAATCCAGCACAAAATTATAATAATGTACTAGATAGAGTAATAAGACATAGGGATGCTATAATATCTCATTTAAACTGGGTATGTATCTTTTTAGGATTTCATTCATTTGGTCTGTATATCCATAATGATACAATGAGAGCTTTAGGTAGATCTCAAGATATGTTTTCAGATACAGCTATACAATTACAGCCTATATTTGCAAAATGGATACAAAATATTCACAATCTTGCTCCGAGCAATACAAGCCCAAATGCATTAGCAACAGCTAGCTATGCATTTGGGGGTGATATAGTTACAGTTAATAATAAAATTGCCATGATGCCTATAAAATTGGGAACCGCAGATTTTATGGTACATCATATTCATGCATTTACTATCCACGTAACAGTACTTATACTAGTTAAAGGTTTTTTATTTTCTCGTAATTCTAGATTAATACCTGATAAATCCAACCTAGGATTCCGCTTTCCTTGTGACGGCCCTGGAAGAGGTGGTACATGTCAAGTATCTGGATGGGATCATGTATTTTTAGGACTGTTTTGGATGTACAATTCATTATCTATAGCAATCTTCC